TATGACTCCAACTGGTTCTCCATCACCAACACAGCCACCCACTACAGAATCCACCACTGTTTCCACAACAACCCCGACTACCAAACCAACCACAACAGCTGAGACAGAATTCACTACAATACCAGGTCCTACAACAACTGAGATGGAAACCCCAGGGCCTACAACAGCTCTGCCCACCACTACAGAATCCACCACTGTTTCTACAACAGCTCTGCCTACCACTACAGAAACCACCACTGTTTCTACAACAGCTCCGCCCACCACTACAGAAACCACCACTGTTTCTACAACAGCTCCGCCCACCACTACAGAAACCACCACTGTTTCTACAACAACTCTGCCTACCACTACAGAAACCACCACTATTTCCACAACAGCTCTGCCCACCACTACAGAATCCACTACTGTTACCACGACAACCCCAACTACCAAACCAACCACAACAGTTTCTACAACAGCTGAGACAGAATTCACTACACCACCAGGTCCTACAACAACTGAGATGGAAACCACAGGGCCTACAACAAAAGTTTCGCCCACCACTACAGAAACCACCACTGTTTCCACGACGACCCCACCCACTACTACCCCAACATCCTGCGGGTATGTTTGCAACTGGACAGACTGGATGAACTCCTACAATCCCAGCACAGATATGCAGCTGAATGATGTGGAGTCATTGGAAAACCTTCACAACAGCTTCAGCTTCTGTGAAACACCAATGGGCATGGAGTGTCGATATGCTGAAAGCCCTGACCTGGACTTCAATTTGTATCATCAGCCTGGGGTAAGGACCAGACAGACATCCTGTGATGTGTCTAATTGTACAGAAAAATATATTAAGTCTTGGCCATTCACTGTTCATTGTTTGTGACATGTACATTAATGATGGATGTCAGTGATTGGAATCTGCCTGTCTTATCTGCTTAGAACTGATGTGTTTTTCCTGTTCAGGTGACATGTGACGTGGGCTCTGGCTTGTTGTGTGAATCCAGCATGACTAGTGAAGGGGCCTGCATGGACTATGAGGTGAGGGTCCAGTGTTGCCATGTCCCAGACTCATGCAAAACAACAACCCAGCCAACCACTGCAGAAACTACCACTGTTCCTCAACAGCTCCAACTACCACAACAACCACAACAGTTAGTACAACAGCTGAGACAGAATTCACTACACCACCTGGTCATACAACAACTGAGATGGAAACCACAGGGCCTACAACAAAAGTTTCGCCCACCACTACAGAAACCACCACTGTTTCCACGACGACCCCACCCACCACTACCCCAACATCCTGCGGGTATGTTTGCAACTGGACAGACTGGATGAACTCCTACAATCCCAGCACAGATATGCAGCTGAATGATGTGGAGTCATTGGAAAACCTTCACAACAGCTTCAGCTTCTGTGAAACACCAATGGGCATGGAGTGTCGATATGCTGAAAACCCCAATGTGGACTTCAATGAGCATCATCAGCCTGGGGTAAGAACCAGGCAGATATCTTTTTGTGATGTATCTAATTGTATAGAAAAAATATTAGGCTTCATCATTCATTGTTCATTGTTTGTTACATGTACATTAATGTTGGCTGTCAGTATGTTTGAATCTGCCTGTCTTATGTACTAGAACTGATTTTTCCTGTTCAGGTGACATGTGATGTGGGCTCTGGCTTGTTGTGTGAATCCAGCATGACTAGTGAAGGGGTCTGCATGGACTATGAGGTGAGGGTCCAGCGTTGCCATGTGCCTGACTCATGCAAAACAACAACCCAGCCAACCACTGCAGAAACTACCACTGTTTCCTCAACAGCTCTGCCTACCACACCAACAACGACAGTTACTACAACAACCCAGACTACCACAGAGACAACTTCAAGTACAACAGTTATGACTCCAACTGGTTCTCCATCACCAACCCAGCCACCCACTACAGAATCCACCACTATTTCCACAACAGCTCTGCCCACCACTACAGAATCCACCACTGTTTCCACAACAACTCCTACTACCAAACCAACCACAACTGTTACTACAACAGCTGAGACAGAATTCACAACATTACCGGGTCCTACAACAACTGAGATGGAAACCACAGGGCCTACAACAAAAGTTCCGCCTACCACTACAGAAACCACCACTGTTTCTACAACAGCTCCGCCTACCACAACAGAAACCACCACTGTTTCCACGACGGCCCCACCCACTACTACAGAAACCACCACTGCTGCAGTGTCCGGCACCACCCCTGGTGGTGGTGGTAGTGGTGGGGAGACCACTACTGCTGCCAAAACAACATCCCTGCCAACTACTACAGAAACCACCACCGTTTCCATGACGACCCCACCCACCACTACCCCAACATCCTGTGGGTATGTTTGCAACTGGACAGACTGGATGAACTCCTACAATCCCAGCACAGATATGCAGCTGAATGATGTGGAGTCATTGGAAAACCTTCACAACAGCTTCAGCTTCTGTGAAACACCAATGGGCATGGAGTGTCGATATGCTGCAAACCCTGACCTGGACTTCAATTTGTATCATCAGCCTGGGGCAAGGACCAGACAGACATCTTGTGTCTAATTGCGTGGAAAAAAACATAGCATACCTGTCAGTCTTGGCCATTCACTGTGTTTGTTTCATTCATGTAAGATGTCAGTGTTTGGAATCTGCCTGTCTTATCTGCTTAGGACTGATGTGTTTTTCCTGTTCAGGTGACATGTGATGTGGGCTCTGGCTTGTTGTGTGAATCCAGCATGACTAGTGAAGGAGCCTGCATGGACTATGAGGTGAGGGTCCAGTGTTGCCATGTGCCTGACTCGTGCAAAACAACAACCCAGCCAACCACTGCAGAAACTACCACTGTTTCTACAACAACCCCGACTACCACACCAACCACAACAGCTGAGACAGAATTCACTACACCACCTGGTCCTACAACAACTGAGATGGAAACCACAGGGCCTACAACAAAAGTCCCACCCATCACAACAGAATCCACCACTGTTTCCACGACAACCCGGCCCACTACTACAGAATCCACCACTGTCTCTACAACAGCTCCGCCTACTACTACAGAATCCACCACTGCGTATGTTCCACCCACCACTACAGAATCCACCACTGTTTCCATGACGACCCCACCCACCACTACCCCAACATCCTGCGGGTATGTTTGCAACTGGACAGACTGGATGAACTCCTACAATCCCAGCACGGATATGCAGCTGAATGATGTGGAGTCATTGGAAAACCTTCACAACAGCTTCAGCTTCTGTGGAACACCAATGGGCATGGAGTGTCGATATGCTGAAAACCCTGACCTGGACTTCAATTTGTATCATCAGCCTGGGGTAAGGTCCAGACAGACATCTTGTGATGTGTCTAATTGTATAGAAAAATATATTAAAGTCTTGGCCATTCACTGTTCATTGTTTGTTACATGTACATTAATGTTGGATGTCAGTGTTTGGAATCTGCCTGTCTTATCTGCTTAGGACTGATGTGTTTTTCCTGTTCAGGTGACATGTGATGTGGGCTCTGGCTTGTTGTGTGAATCCAGCATGACTAGTGAACGGGCCTGCATGGACTATGAGGTGAGGGTCCAGTGTTGCCATGTGCCTGACTCATGCAAAACAACAACCCAGCCAACCACTGCAGAAACTACCACTGTTTCTACAACAACCCCAACTACCACACCAACCACAACAGTTAGTACAACAGCTGAGACAGAATTCACTACACCACCGGGTCCTACAACAACTGAGATGGAAACCACAGGGCCTACAACAAAAGTTCCGCCCACCACTACAGAAACCACCACTGTTTCTACAACAACCCGGCCCACTACTACAGAATCCACCACTGTTTCCACGACAGTACCATCCACTGCAGAGGCGACTACTTCTGTATCAACCAAAGGTACCACATCTATTGCGACTCCTACAGGCTCTCCATCACCACATGAAACAACCATTGTTTTCACAACCCCAATAACCAGCACACATTCCACATCAATGCCTCCACCAACTACAACTACCCAACCTACAACTGCTCAGCCTTCCACGACCAGGTTGGAAACAACACGCCCAACAACAGCTGAGACAGAATTCACAACACCACCAGGTCCTACAACAACTGAGATGGAAACCACAGGGCCTACAACAAAAGTCCCACCCATCACAACAGAAACCACCACTGTTTCTACAACAACCCGGCCCACTACTACAGAATCCACCACTGTTTCTACAACAGCTCTGCCCACCACTACAGAATCCACCACTGTTTCCACGACAACCCCACCACCCACCACTACCCCAACATCCTGCGGGTATGTTTGCAACTGGACAGACTGGATGAACTCCTACAATCCCAGCACAGATATGCAGCTGAATGATGTGGAGTCATTGGAAAACCTTCACAACAGCTTCAGCTTCTGTGAAAGACCAATGGGCATTGAGTGTCGATATGCTGCAAACCCTGACCTGGACTTCAATGAGCATCATCAGCCTGGGGTAAGGACAAGGCAGACATCTGATTTATTATGGCCATTCACTGTGTTTGTTATTTTTATGTTGGAATCTGCCTGTCTTATCTGCTTAGAACTGATCTGTTTTTCCTGTTCAGGTGACATGTGACGTGGGCTCTGGCTTGTTGTGTGAATCCAGCATGACTAGTGAACGGGTCTGCATGGACTATGAGGTGAGGGTCCAGTGTTGCCATGTGCCTGACACATGCAAAACAACAGAGCAAACAACAACAGCAACCCCAACCACCACTGTGACAACAGAGAAACCAACAACAACAATAATCCCAACCACCTCTGTGACAACAGAGAAACCAACAACCTCAATCGCCACAACTACAGAGAGCATCACAACGATTTCAACAACATCCATTGAGACCACCACTGAGTACTGCCAGGAAACATGTGTTTGGTCAGAGTGGATGAACTCAGACTACCCTGGCGTTGGTGTTCGTAAGTATCTTCTTCCTCATCATACAGACATTCACTTTGACAGATGTCTACAGATACAGTCTAATCTTATCGTGCTGTTGTTGACATAACAAATGTATCAACTGACTGAATTGCTCTTGTTTGCTTCATTTCCAGCTAATGACAATGAGACCTATGCCCATCTGCGGGAAAGTTCCCTGGATTTCTGTCAGCAGCCAGATGACATAGAATGCCGTCTAGACATTGCACCAAATGCAGACTTCAGTGTTGCCAAACAAAGTGGGGTGGAGTGTGATGTCAACAATGGTCTCCTGTGCCTGTCCAAACTTCTACCAAGGTAAGGGAATGGAGACCAGGTACATGTTGTACATCGTATGTTGAGTTTATTGCTGACCTGTTCTTCATGTTAGCACTTATTCGCAATGCATGAGTTTATTGTTGACCTGTTCTTGAATGTCAGCACTTATTCGCAAACAGGCTACAACAGCATTTGGTAATAATGAATAAAAAGCAAAGTGCATCTGAACTAAGAGAAATCATAAGACTCTGCTTCATCAGAAATCTGGTAGAATTTTTCAGACTTCTGCAGCATGGCTATTGATGCATGTCTATGGCCTCCTAAAGTTACACCACCTTGTTTTGCATATTGTCTATGGCCTCCTAAAGTAACACCACCTTGTTTTGCATATATTATAGTTTTACAGATATGTGGACATTTATTTGTCCAGTCTACTTCCAAAACATAGACTGAGGACTTTACAGAAATGTTGAATGAGTGTCAACTGTACATGTGTTACAACATATGTTTGTATGCTCTTGTTTCTTTCACAGGACTGCTCCAGCCTGTTATGACTATGCCATACGAGTGAAGTGCTGTTCTGTGCCAGCCTACTGCACAACGATGGGTCCTACAGGATCGCCTTCGCCAACTATCCCCACAACACAAGAAACCACTACTACAGGAACCACCACCATTTCCACAACAGCCCCACCCACTACTGCGGAAACCATCACCGTTTCCACGACGACCCCACCCACTACTACAGAAACCACCACTGTTTCCACAACGGCCCCGCCCACCACTACAGAATCCACCACTGTTTCCACGACGGCCAAGTCCACTACTACACCCTTCATCCCCCCGAGTACCACCGAGTGTCCAGACTTCTGTGTCGACATGGCTGGCAAGATAATACCGGTAACACCATTAGAACAGCTTTAAGATGATTTCAAATTTTGTTAAGTTGTGCTGCACAAAGGTGTTGACCTGGTATGGGTTGAAGGGCATAATACATGTGTAGCAGATAATCTGTAAAAATTTACATTGAAAAGACACTAGTTTGCCAGAACCATCATGATGATGAAAAGGGGTCCTCTTTCATTGACAAAGTGGAAAGTGATTGCAGCTTATTTTGCAGCAAGTCATCATGTTGGATACCTATAATATAAGTTTTCCTGCAGGATATAACAATAAGTGAACATTGTCCTGTACTTATCAACAGGTTGGTGACACTTGGTATGAACCAGGGGACCAATGCCAACGATCATTGTTCGTATGCAACCCATGTGGCCAGATTTCCGTTGACCCTCGCAGATGTGATGTGGTTGAGCCACCCAGCTGTGCCAATGGACTGCAGCCTATTGATGTGGGGGAGTGCTGTCCAGAGTACCAGTGTCCATGTATGTACAGATATTATGGATTAGACTGACTGACTGACAAAAAAATAAGTCCAGTTCCACTCTGTGCAGAGCATAGGGGTGCCCATCTCCATTTCTGCAGCCCTTGGGCGACACAGTTGTGCAATCACTAAAGCAGGGGGCTACATGTAGCCCGCTGGTAGTGTTGTGTGTTCAACCTTCCCACACTCTTTCTCATAGATGGTGAGTGCCAAGCCAAGAAAGCAGTATGTACCATTATTGAAGTCTTTGGTATGACCCGGCCGGGGTTTGAACTTACAACCTCCCGGTTACAAAGTGAGCACTCTACCAGATTTAGCCATGGCACCATTTAAACCGGACAAACAAAACAACCACTGATTCCAAGGCAACCAATTTTATTTCCTTGGTTCTCAGGAAAAGTTAAATTTGAGTAAGACGACATCATGAAAACAGAGGGAAGGGAGCAAAACTTGAATCTGACTGCTGGGAATTTTAGAGTGAGATTCTCTTTTTTGAGATTCTTCTAATGGAATGAACATGGTAGGGTCACTAAATTTGGATGGTAGGTAGCTCTTTTAGCTCTTTGGCTGGGGAAGAAGTGACATGAGTTTGGACCCCCTAGCGGCTTGTTCTTGAAGTGCAGAAGCATTTGTTAAAAATATTCGAAGGAGGATAACTCAAGAACCGATTGACGAATTATCATGACTTTTAGTATGTGGGTACCTTAAAGAATGCTTGACATATCAAAATGATAGGTATGCAAATCAGCAGCTAATTAGCATGATTAATGAGGAAATGCTATAAATCTGCTACCTTCCATGATATGATTATTCAAACGTGTGGCATGTGTAATTGTGAAGAAGAGCATTGGCAGATATTGTTTATGCAAATGAATGCCTAATTTGCATAATTAATGGCAATCATCAACATCTGTCAAGGCCCAAGGGTAACATCATTTGGCGAAGGTATGAGATCGTGGAATAGTTTTGTTTGAAATTCACATTTCTGTGTTTTGGCAAAAGTAGGTTGGGTTATGGGCTATTGTTAAATGTTCTCAATATAATTTCTCAGTAAAATTACAAAATTTCTCTTCTACAGGTGAGTGCAAGGGATATGGGGACCCTCACTACTTCACTTTCGATGGAGAGTACTTCTACTTCCAGGGAGAGGGCGAGTTCATTTTGGCTAGAGACACCAACGTTCCACATGACTTTGAGGTCCGGGGTTACAATGTTCAGTGCACTGTTGCACCCATCACGACCTGCACTAAGGAGATCAAGGTCATCTACAATGGAAATACCATAGAACTGAAGACTGGACATCAGGTAAAGTACAATCAATTTAAATTTAGTAAATACATGTAGGTGTTGTCACTCCTGGAAGTTGCCAGATAAATTTGCATCATACGCAATATACATCTTGAAATCTAATAGATCCAACTGTTCCAGGTTCAACTAAACAGCATGGTGGTAGTGATGTCCTTAAGTTTGGAAACACCCTTTGTGTGTGATAGATTTGTTAGTCTGCTTGGGTCAATCTTATCCATTATCTCACCCCTCTCAGGTGCTTGTGAATGGATCACAGTGGTCCCTACCATTCAAGGTCGGTGGTTGTAAGGTGACTCAAATGGGCTTCCCACTGAAGCTGGAGATTGAGTCCCTGCATGTGACGGTGGTGTATGACTGGTTGAGCAGCGGTTTCTACATCAGTGTGCCTCCATCCATGTACTCAGACAAAACTGAGGGACTGTGTGGTAAGTGCAGAAATTGTATATCTGGAACTCATCTTTCTATGCCAGCATGGTACATGTATCACTGCTGTACACTTGTTAAACTCCACATATCTTCCCGTAGAAGGATTTATGATGACTGCACAAATGTATGTGACATACCTACCTGTACAATCATACATGCATGTACTCCCACAGTTTTTCTCATGTCAGTCATACTCAGTATACTGTTCAACTCACTTCTGTACACAGGTCCATGTAACAACAACAAAACAGACGACTGCAAGGACAGAGAGGGTAACATCATGAACGACTACAACAACTGCTCTTGCGACTGGAAGGTGGAAACACCCGGCAGCCCGTCCAACAGCTGCATTCCTGAACCCAAGCCCACCACCCCCACACCTTGTGACCAGACCCCATGCGAAGTCCTCTCAGTAAGAACATACCACTAAGTACATTGTAACACACACAGACACATGCACACACTGTGACCTGGTGACATCTGAACAGTATGTACCAGTCTAATAATTAAGTACAGCACATTCCTGATGGGAACTACATGTAAGAGGAACAACTACAAGATGATGCACTATGCAGTGTCACCTTCTTGTGTTAAGAATACAGGTATAAGAGCTTGTTGTTTTGAAGTTCTGTTTTTGAGCAGTATGATTGAATAATTTCTCCTGACGTTTTTCAGGACCCAGAAGGTCCGTTTGGCGCCTGCCACGACGTTGTGGACTACGAATTCTTCTATCAGTCCTGTCGCTATGACACGGGAGCCTGTTACAGCGAGTGTCAGTCCCTGGGAGCGTACGCCTACGTGTGCCAGCGTATGGGTGTCTGTGTGGACTGGAGAGGGAGGGGCAACAACTGCTGTAAGTTAGATGCCTAAGAACCAGTCCACATTCGTGGTAGTCAACTGCAACCTGTATTGCATGCAATTTAAATGAGATGCATAGAAATTTCAAATTTTTTGCATGTATACCTTCAATGTCATATTTCAAAATGTGTGTTGTAATGTTGCCATTACTGCTTATCCTTCCCCAGCTTATGAATGTGAGGAGGGTAAGGTGTACAAGGCCTGCAGCTGTGTGAAGACTTGTGAGAACATGGACGTCTTCAATGCCTCGCAGTGTTCCTTGGCATACATGGAAACAGAAGGCTGCTTCTGTCCTGAAGACATGGTTCTCCATACATCCTCAGAAGAGTGCATTTCAGAAGATACATGCAGTAAGTACTAGTAACTAGTACTCTTTTGTACTACATCCAAACTTGTTAAGTGAATTACATGTTCAGATTGCAATGTACATGCACAACTTCCACTATCGGATTACTCATTCAAAGAAAAGCACATAATATTGTGTGCATACACCATGTCCACCATGCATACGCACTGTTAATTCTATACCTGTCACACTATTGAAAGTGAAAGGAACTCACCCACAATTACTGGCCTTCCAGTATGCAGTTGTTAAGTTTCGTCTCTTGTTTTGTTCCAGATGGCTGTGAGGATGAGAATGGCATGCCTCATGCCATCGGCGACACCTGGATCCCCCACGAGGGCAGCTGCGAGGAGTGCACCTGTACAGGATACAGGAAGACGGAGTGCAACCTCGGGTCTGCCCCACCGACCAGACCATCCCCAAGTGTGGTGTGTGCGAGTCTCAGAGGATGGTGGAAGGGTCTGACCCCTGCTGCCCCACCTATGAGTGCGGTAAGGCCATCACAGGAGTTCTCAGACTGTGTGCATTGTGAGGGTCCCTAAACTTAGAAAATGTTACATGTAGTGGCATGGTTCTAAATCATACCAATTTTCTAGTTTGTATCCAAAACAGACAGCTCAGTCCTGAAATTTGTAGGGCAAAATTCTGTGTACAGTAAATGTTTCTCTTTATATGTTGCACAAAACTTGTGAGTTACGTACATGTAGTTGATATTTTCTGGCCTTGTTTCCAGTGTGTGATCTGAACCGTGTGGACTGCCCCGAGGTTGTCATCCCTACGTGCGAACAGTACCAGTACGTCCACCACACCAACCCCGGCGAGTGTAGGCCTGAGTACGAGTGCCGCTGCAACTCTTCTCAGTGTCCCACTGCGCCAGCGTGTGAACATCCCAAAGTCCTGGACATGTCTGAGGGAGAGTGCTGTCTGGAGTATGAGTGTGTGTGTGACGTCTGTCCGACACCCCCCACTCCATACTGTTCTGCTGAGGAGGTGAGCAACTGGAACTATACTTGACAGTGTACTTAACTTGTTCATTACAAGGCCTGTATCATCCCCATTCCCCACTCTTGTAGCCATGAAGATAAATTTATAGTCCTTTGAATGTTCTTCTTTGATGCTTTTTTTTTTCTTACTGTGCACATTTTACTGGGTTTTCTCCTTGTGACGAGGTCTTTGTTGTGTCCCTAGGGTTACATCCTTGTGAGCAGTGAGGATGTCTGTGGGTGTGTGAACGAGTCCTGTGTGTGTCGTGAGAACACCTGTTCCCCTGCACCTGAATGTCCACCCAACAAGCACCTGGTTACCGTGGAAACCAGCTGCTGCCCTCACTACAACTGCAGCTGTAACACCTGCCCAACCCGGCCAACACCTAGCTGTTCTGTCGGAGAGGTGAGACCACAATCTGCATTGTTGGTGCTTAAACTGCCAGATGTTTATACATTGTATTCCCAATAAGGGTCTGTTATTGGGGCCATGACAGCTAATAGCCATTTTCTACAAAATCTATGCTTTGTAGTTGAGACAGCTTGGCTTGCAAGTTCTTTGGTTAGTGCACATGGCTGCTTAATACCCATAACAAACATATACAAATGTATATGTGTGACAGTAAACTGTTTGACAGCTGTAAGCCTGACAGTAAAGATGCCCTCTCACCTCCGCAGGTGCCAGGTTACGTGATCCACGAGACCGAGGACGACTGCGGCTGTGTGAACAGCAGCTGCATCTGTGACCGCAGCACGTGTCCTGCACCACCCACCTGCGGTGACAACAAGAACCTGGTTACCATTGAGACTGAGTGCTGCCCAGAGTACAGATGTGGTGCGTCAGTGTGTTTTATGGCTCGTGTTTGTGACACTCAAGTGTATTTTCATATATAGTCAATGAGTTAGTGCATTCAGCAAATATCAAGAGTTCCTATATAGTATAATGGAAGGATTGAATTTCTTCTCATTCCAACAAGACTTTTGCTTTCAGCTCTTTGTTCCAGTCAGTACACTAGCCAGCTACAGTCCATTCTTAAACAGTGCCATTCTTACAACAAATAAAAGAAGTACCAAAAGATCTGTGTGATAGTGTTGATTATGGGAACTAGATGCTTAGAGAAGACATACATGTGGACTGATGATGTTGTTCTGTCCCCAGAGTGTAAGGAGTGTCCTGAAGACGACACACGCTGCAGGTTTGGTGAGATCCAGACAATCTTTATGGACGAGTGTTGCAGGCACACCAACTGTACCCCAGAGCCGGTCTGTGTGTACCAGAACACCACCCACCAGGTAAATACTGAGACCTGCACACTGTTTGCAAAAGCTAGTACTTCAGTTGCGACATGTTTCGAAACAGATTGGTAATTATGAAGAGTGAAAGTTTCCATATTTAGTGTAGTCACAAGCATGAAGAAAGATTGTTGAGGTATAGCTGTTTTCATCTTTAAATATCCCAATCACTCGCCAGTCACCAATAAGAACTAGACTAGTCAGACAAGACATTGATCATTGTGCTGCAATGTGAAAGCTATACTGTTTGTAATGTTAGTTCAGTTAATCTTCTCAGTTATATGTTATTCATATATTAACACCAACAAGTCATTTCTCACCTGTTTGTTCCCGTCTGCCCTAGCCTGGTACCAGCTGGACTGATCCCAATGACGACTGTGTTCAGTGTCAGTGTCTGGAGGAGATTGATCCGGAAACAGGGTTCCACAGGGTCTCCTGTGATGACTACTCCTCACATTGTGAAGTCAGCTGCCCAGCAGTGAGTACATGTGTTTACTTATATATTGGCTAGTTCATAGAAGGAATTAGAAAAAAAATAGTTGCTTTGCAGATCTTCTTATTTCCAGAACAGTTACACCAGAAGTATTCAAGTGAGGTACAATATGCACAGTTGTCCCTGAATGGATAATACAGTCAGGTATCTGGTAGCAGATGAAGATGTAGAAAAAATGTAGAAAACCTATCGGTAGTTTAGAAAGTTAGCATCAAAATGTTCTAATACAAATGTCCAGTAAGCAGAAACCACATGCAACAATCTACTTTTGTAATTCAGCTTGACAATATCCCTCTCACTAATACCCAATATGGATGGTCTCATAGTAGGAATTAAAAGAAAAAAATTAGCACATCTACAAGACTATGATTATCATTTAAAATAGTTCATGATTTTATAATCCTCCAGACATAAAGCTATTGGTTCTCCTCCTCAGTGTGACTCATACCAAATACAATCATATGTAAGTTGCCTGTACCATGAATTCTTGTCCGTTCCTTCCCCAGTGCCACACCTACCAGGAGCGCAGTGGAGAGTGCTGTGGAGAATGTGTGAAGACTTCTTGCTGTGTCCTGGATGGGGAAGATCTTATGGAGTATCCAGTAAGTCTGAAGATACATGTTTATAAATAGCACAAAGTAGGATTGTGTACTAGGCGAATTTAAGGTGGATAACCTATATTGTTACAGTAATACTATATGGTTGTGTAAATGTGATGAACATTTGGAAATAGCTGCCTAGAGGTTTGGAATACATGTACACCTGTGTCTGTGGATATATTTAGTGAACTACTGTAGAACTGTAGAACATATGTAGAGATAATAACACATTTTGTCAAGACCCTGAGCTATCTTTCTCTTCCAGGCTGGCTCCCATTGGACTTCTCCCGAAAACAGCTGTTCGCGATGTTCCTGTTCGGAGATAGGGGTGGAACATTGTTCTACAATCAGCTGTCCACCAGTCCCTACCTGCCCAACTGGTATGGAAATGAAAAACACATCATCCGCTGATGGCTGCTGCACATTCTATGAGTGTAAGTTTGGTCTGTCAGTAGTATTTGTCAACAGCAAGTTTAGTGTTAAGATTGGTTGTTTACAAGCAGTTGTGATTCCTGAACAAGATTTACCTTAAGTAAACCACAGGCTGTTGTCAGGATCTTTGATGGTGCATTGTACCTGTGGGCAAAACATTAAAAACTACAACACTGCAAGTACCTCAGGTTGCTACCTACTGAACAGTGTTAGGTGCCAACAGCAGCAGGTGCTAAAGGATTTCCTGGTAAACCAATCTGTTCATTGATACTGTGTCTGTGCTTTTCCTTATAAAGGCATAGGTAGGAGTGTGCAGGGCTAGTACAAAAGGTTGTCCTTGTAACATTACATACTTCGTTAATTGATATTCTACTTTGTGTTTTGCATACTAAAGGTGTGCCAATGGGCCAGACTACATGCAGCTTGTACACCAAAGTCGACTATCTCCATGTGGATGACTGTGTGAGTCTGCAGCCCGTCAATATCACATCATGTGCAGGGCGCTGTGCCTCCAGTTCCATGTATGAAGGTGGGTGGACTATACCACTTCTACACCATTAGATTCTAAATGTGAGCTAGCAAAGTCCTAGTTATGACAATGAAATGTGGTTGTGGAGGGCAGGCTTAGATGCCCATTGTTGTGCCCAATTGTGGATAGTAGAAAGATGTTTAACTTAGTAAACACGTACATAGATGATGACCTAATGTTTATTAGACAGAGTGTACTGGTACATGTAGTTAGAGTATTCACAGTACACATTTGCTTGTTTCACATATGTAGTTGCTAGAACCATGCATTCTGTTCACCTTGATTCTGAGTGCAGATGTTACATCTTCCCCAGGTGTGGACCTGAAGCACACCTGTGAGTGCTGCCATGAGGTGTCCATGGCCGAGGTCTCCGTGCCGATGGAATGTGAGGGGACTACAACCTCCTCCATGTCCTACACCTACCGACAGATCACGGCTTGCGATTGTGACACCACGGAGTGTGAGGTGCCGACTGCCCAGCCCTAGCCCAACACACATCATGTACCAACACGTCATAGCTGCAGACTCATCATGTGACTGTCACATGGCCGTTACATGAGTATCACATGGCAGTCACATGACCATTCTGTGACTTTGACTAAAGAGATTGATATCACGTGGACAAGATAAGATTTAAATACTAAATCCCTTAACTTTGCTGAAAAGATGTTTGATGAAATAACAGAAAAAGAAAACATAGGCAAGCAAACAAATAAAAGGGGAGAGAATTCGACTTCAATCTTGCAAGATTTGTAGGTCCTAATTATACAGCTAATTCAGCAAAGTTAAAGTGGTTGAAGCAGGCAGCATTTCTGCGGAACTATGCAATATTGTCTCCTGTGGCTCTGTGGGAGACAATGTCAGTGGCATGGGACAGGTGGGGTGGGCTGTACCATTAGATGAAGGGTAGGTTCAACATGGGACTTACCTCCCACAGAGTCACTTGTCTTGTAGAACTGTGCTATCTCCTTTTTCCAAACATCTGTATAATTCTAGAGATATATAAGGATATCCTCTATTTTTGTCTGATAGTGCTATATTATACAGGATGATGAATATGCTCAGGAGACCCAAGGGTCACGTAGCCAAAATAGTAGTTTTAATGATGATTAAGTTAGTCCTGTCAGGCAAGGCTTGAGCTGTGACTTATCTGACAGATTAGAACCACCTTCTTTAGAGCCTTTTGACTTTTAGCCATGACTTAAACACTGGCTCTGTTGCCATCAATCAATGTAAACAAGAGTAAGGAGTAGGTTTGAATTTGTACCACCTGGATTGGAAAATAACAAGATTCTATTTTGGCAACTGACAATGTATTTGTCATGGACAGTAGAATAGGATGATACAATATTTTGAAGGTGACCTGTTAAAGCTTTATTGGACAACAAAGAATATCAGAATGCGACTTGCAACAATTGACAGCTTTTAAAGATGCAGAGGCAATAGAATAATGTTAAATTTCTGTTTGGAACATTTTTTGCAGTAAGGCCATGTTGATTTGATTATATGGATGACATCCGCGCGCACATGAATTTTCGGCCGTTTCCCCCCCAAAAAAAGTTTTCAACCATACTACAAATCGTACAAAACAGTTGCAAAATGAGCAAAAATATACCACAAATTACAAAAAAAATTAATAAAAACTATACCAATGTCGTAGAATGCCAAAATCAAACGAAAAAAGACGAAATTGTAAAGAAATGAACTTGAAGACTAGATTATTCGCCAAACCATATTCTGTGCCATTTGCTCAACCCTCATGACCACGTAGATTTCATAATGAAAAGAACTTTTTTTTTTGCAAAACTTTTTTTTTATTCGCATGCGCGCATCAGTTTTGGGGCTCCCGGAGGATGTCATCCATATAATCAAATCAACATGGCCTAATGTCTGGGGTGTGATTCACTCACATGTATTCTTTTAGATAAAATAAAATTGTCTTTAATTTTCCATGTGCAAATATGTTAAAGGGTTTGAAAAAAAAGTACATGAATCAAATTCAAATTGAAAACTATGCAATCAAAATTGATGATTAAATAGTACTAGCATATTAGACAGTTGGCACTTGGTGTCAGGAATAAATAACAGCAATACAATATCAATGGTTTTTGGCACCTGGATGTTTCTGTGGGAGGGGGGTAGTAGCTTCCAGTTACCACCATCAATGTACACAAGGGAGGGGAAACACACACCCACACTTACTGCATCAGACTGAAGTTTTTATACCTGTATTTACCCCAGATGATTTTATGGCTGCTGTGTGCAATTTGAAGTACCAAAGGAACTGACTTCTCCTCACCACTATGTCTTTTGTGAATTGTCTATTTCAGATGATGTATCAGGATAAGATCTGTGTGACTTGTTTCACTACAACAATCAGTATGTTTAGACCAGTTGCAGAACACAACAGCTACATTGTTGAAATAGAACAATTTACAGTACAATGAAACCTCTGTAGTCATCCCTTTTCAGCATAGAATAAAGATCTATCAAAGATTTCTACAATCTTGTGTTGAGGCTGATTCACTGTGTACTACAGGGAGGCAGAATAGAACTACATGCGATAGACACCGTTCAAGAATCAAGGGCTTCTTCGAGGTACAGGGCAGCCAATCAACAAACTCCCAACAGGCTTTGTCCACCCAGATGTTTTCAAATGTCCAAATGACTAACCACTTGCAAGCATCATGAATGCATAGGCATTTGTAATACATCTCGCACTTTAAAATGGTAGAATCTGACTTTATAAACTCAACATACGGATGTGCTGTTAGCTCTGTCCTTGGTGCTGAATGCTCATTACAAGGACAGCAAATCCCTTGTCCCAATTTCCCTTTGGGTACATCAAGACCTCAGCATATGGATGTGCTGTTAGCTCTGTTCTTGGTGCTGAATGCTCATTACAAGGACAGCAATTTGTAATCTCAACATAAGGATGTGCTGTTAGCTCTGTCCTTGGTGCTGAATGCTGATTACAAAAACAGCACTAAATGTACCAGTTTATAGAGGTGTCCAATGATAAATATGTGCCTTTCTTTATGTCCTCTCAAAGTTATCATTTAAGTGGGACATTTTCTTTTGCCCTTGAGCTTTGCATTTTTGTACCTGCCAAGATTACAATATCTTAATACTGAAACAGAAGGTGTGCTTGTGGAAAGCCCTTTGGCATGTCAAAATCGAACAAAACAGAACCAAACTTCCTGTCAGTCTATGCAAAATGTAGCCTAACTTTTGCTATGTGACTAAAGATTGCCCTACTATTATCACCTTGCGACTAGGATCATTGCAATAATGCATTGATATTCCCTGCTGGGGATTTCCAGTCTGTGTAGTCTACAGTATTATCTCCACAAAACATACCCTTTGCTCCCCACACCCTAACATTAAATATTTAGGATAAACTTGAAACAGATGCAAAAAACTATATCCAAAGTTTACAGTCACATTTTTTTTTATTCCAACACCCCTTTCAGAGCATACAACATAATGTGGTGTAGGAACTTATTTCTACATAATCTGTTTCTTGCCAAGCATCATTTTAATCTCCACTGCCACAACAGATTGGAATGAGCCACATATTGATTATGGAATGTTGTAAGTTTTAGCTGTTTTTAATTAATCTTACATTTGTAAAATGATCACCTAACCCTGCCAACAATGTTATATTCATTAAGATTGTTACACAGTTTTACTCTTCAAATCATCCAAACAGTTATTTTTCTACAGTAATTCATAGATCAAGATTGATAGAGTAAATAGGTTTTCTTCTCAGTGATAGGTTTTCTACATTGTGCCTGGGTATGTTTGGCACACTGGTAAGAAATATGGTTCATAGACTCTTAGAATTCATGTCTACTTATATTCATATTTCTGTCGTAATGAAAATAACTCTTATTAACATTCATAAAGATGCTCTAATTACATGTTAGTATAAACTTTCCCCAACAACAATGTTTATCGGATCTATTACAAGGATGTGCCAAGTTAAACTTGGGCATTCCAGTTTACCATTCATGATCAGGATCTAATCTTTACCTACATCGGCCCACCAATGGGCCAGTGAGACAATGCTGGATTATTCCATTTTACCAAGTGGGGGCACCAAACCTGTGTATGATCTTGTCCTGATCGGCCAGGTCCTTCTGAACTTTCTTCCTCATGTAGAAAATGGGACAGTCTCGGCTGAGAGTGGAGGGAAGAGAGATGGAACAACATCATCAGATTTCTATCATTATCTGTTACCCATGAGACATCATCAAGCAATGTTGAAACAAAAGTTACAAAACATAAAAGGTAAAGGTACAGATGTAGTGTCATAGCCTTTTTGAGTTTAAAAGGGCAGTGGGTTGTGTCTGGTAAACTGTATTGGAAGGATGAGCCCATCCCTCTCCTTCCACCACCTTTTACATCCCAAACTGACATCAGGCACTCATTTTACCCCAGGGTGGAGTGAGGAAAGTCGTGTTCAAAGCCATTCCCAAGTACAAAATGTTTAGCCAGGAAACCAGGGATTGAACCCGTGACCTCTTGATCTTGTGTACACTAGCCTAGCCACTTTGCCATAAAATAACACTGAACAGACATCTGCCATTGTCTTACCTGGTACAGAGGACATCCTCATGCAGACTACCCTGGCACCGCTGGCACTGGGTCCACAGACGAGAGAACTTCTCCTCCAGTGCATTCAGCTGCATTATCTGGGAGGCAAAAAAAGGAGTCAATAAACAGGCTTGGAGGAAAGACAGGTAATTGCAATATGGGGCTACCCCAATTAGCTCCAAACATTGACTTCCTTATGATTAATGCTGAGTGTCACACACATGGATTTGTATTTCTGTGAGAATTACAGCTTACCTCCTTCTGGTAGATCTCTGACTCCTTGTCCTTACAATACTTGCAGACGGCTGTCCCTTCCTTCTGTAGAACAGTCTTACAGCCGATACAGGTGCTTCGTTTTTTCACGAAGCCAGCAAGAGCGCTGATCTTTGACGAAACGACAGTCTTGCTCAGGGTGTGTTCCCCCTCTGGTAGGGCAGAGGAAATGGTCAAGATTATCTTAGATGTTCTCTAGACACAAAACATGGCAAATACTAACCTCTTCAATCTACAAACCCTACAATACTGATAATCATCAAGCATACGACACAAACACTCAACTCAACATCATCAAGGATGCCTGTTGCTGCTACTGCTGCTACTAGTACTACTGCTACTGCTACAACTACTACAGTACTACTACTACTACTACACACACACACACACAAAAGAACAAAGCCTTGTCAATGCTTACTGAGTAGTACAGAGGTGGCCTTGGACTCCCCCAGGATTGGTTCAAAGATGCGGAGGAGAGGTTTGGAGAGCTGCTGGTCCAGGTAGTACTTGGTGTCGATGGGGATGTTGTTCTCTAGCACATAAATGGGGTCCTGTATGGAGTAACCCAGTCAACACAGTCTCTTTTAGTTGATTGTTAATTCACAGTGAACACTGTAAATCTCTTAATGGCAGGAGGGAAAGGGAGATTTTCAGTACTTCAAATTTGTAGTTGAAGCAATTCTAAAGTTCAGCAGTCATGAATTCACAGTGAAGAAGTCCCTGCAGAAGCTGTGATTTCAAGATAAAACCACCGCAATTTTCACAATTTATACAGTAACCATCCCAAATGCAACACTGCTAAACTAGCTGTTAGAAACGTTACCTCAGACTTCATGTATGCTGCTGTGCCCTTGGCTGCAGCGATGATGACATACGGAACTCGGTCGCCCAAATTGGGAGCGCTCCCTGCATCTCTCTTCCTCATCCTACAACAGAAGCAAGAACAACAGTTATTTCTTTATGAACTTTTATCAATCTTAACTTTAACTTCCCAGTACAATTTTGGTGTCGTAGGATAACCAGTAAGTTCTTTAATGCCCAGGTCACATGCATCATAATATACACGTCCAATGCAACTTCCAGCTTTACATCCTGAAGCCGTCACAGCCTGAAGTCCTGTGCTCCAGTAAGAAAATATGTGTAAACTGCCCTTCACAAGGACACAACATTCCAAACCAGAACCTTAGCAGCCAGTCCCTTGTCCCACCTTTCTGCCAGCTCCACGTGTGCCTGTTTAGCTGCGTACTCGTCCCCCTCCTTGGTCAGCTCCTTGGTGATGACCAGCTGGGAGATGTCCACACGGTTACACAGCAGGTCAGAGATCACCTGTTTAGCGTGGTCAATAGCACCCTGGGGATCCCTGAAGCCAAGATCACAGAAATAAGCGACAGTGTGAGCACTGAGAGGTTTATTCTTATCAACCTACTTTTACCTGAGGGATTATCTGCCACTTTGAAATACAATGTATTTGAACTTAAAGTTTGAGAGATCTCTAGTGCATACATGTTCATGTGTAGTTTAGATGTGCAGGAGTGCATTGCACGGGACACTTTCCTTTCAAGACACATTTTTCAGGGTGAAAGATACATGTGTGACTCAGAGCATACTCATTTTGGAGTAGACAGGAAGCACCAAGCAAATCATTAGGGCAATATATTCCATAGATGGACAGCATGATCTTCAGATCCTGACCCACTAATCTCATCAAGCTTCTACTTCTCAAACCTTTTTCTTAACGGTCTAAAATCAAAACATGAAAATGGCCAGTCAGGTAAGAAATTACCTGGGTATACAGCCACACAGTATTTACAGCTGGACACTATCTAATAATTTCTGGTAAATGCCTAGCTAGAACATTTTTATAGTCACCTGTAGATAAGGAGTTTCTGCAGACATGTGTTTATGAGGTGAGCCACTAGGGGGCAGTTGTCCCGGCGCACAGTCTCGATGCCCTTACAGTCCATCTTGTCGTGGACCTCAGGGCGAGTGAAGTACAGCCCAGCATAACGCTTCTTGTTGATCAGCAGATAGGGGAAATATACCTGGCAGAGTTAACAGAAGAGTTAAAAAATTACCCTGAAGATAACATAATAATGTTTACTAGTATGGTGTAAAATATCTCTCTGCAGATGAAAGAACCCTACACATGGAGAAAGCATGGAAAAGCATAATGCATCACATCAGTTGAGGATGACAAAATATGAATCATAATAATACAGCCAACATAGTAAGCAAAAGAATAAAATTTTTACCTTAAGAATCTTGAGTTCAATCATATGTGACTGGATTGTGCACTATGAAAGTAAAAATCCTGAACACTAATTTTTAAAACATCATAGTAAAATCCTTGCCAACCTTTTCAAACTCCAGTTTGACAGGATGGGGGAATTTTGCTGACACAGCCTGTGCCGCCTCCTTCCCCAGTTCCATGGCTTCTGCCACAGTGTCCACTCCAAACTTCACCATTACGGAGTCTGTGTCACCATAGATAACCTGCAGACATAGCAATGTTTTAGTGATTCTATGGATTGTACATGATTGTACCCCATTAAATCTGCTGCATTATCACTAAGACTGCCACCATTCAAAACGGTGTTACAAAGGCTTTCTCAAGAATATCTTGAATACCAGGATAGCTGAAGTGTGCATACCTTAGAGACTTTTACCGACCCTGGATTAACATGTCTTCTGTTACCTGACATGTTACCTGGAATTATGCTAATAGAGGTTACATTTTCATACATATTTTCACATTCAAAGTGATTCAGTGATTCGGCATTACATGTATTTCACCGGTAATGAAAGAATTCAAGTGGCTAAGTGTCATGTTAGTGCCCTATAATATATCCTTCACAACTATAAAACCCACCTTAGCATCATGTTTGTGCCCCAATGCTATCTTGTATGTGTCCTCCACAAACTGTCTGGTCTGTTCAATCATGGTCCTGCCGAAAGCTGTCACACTCTGAGG